GGGGGAAGGGGAAATGGGGAGGGGGAAGCGGAAATGGGGAGGGGGGAGGGGAAGAGAAATGGGGGAGGGGAGGGGAGGGGGGAAAGAAAGAAAGCCTCAATCAGAGGAGCAGAGCTGCCATTACTTAGTGGTGGGTAGGTGGCAGAACAGCTCAGGGCAAGACACAGACCTTGGATGCCAATGCCAGTCATCAGATATTGAGCAATGTTGTAAGTAGAGTTAGGCTGCAGGAGAACCTGCCCTTCACCTCCTCCTCTTCATTCTTCAGGTGATCCCCATTGACCAAGACCATACCTCTAAGATAGAGCTCTGCAGCACAATCTACACAACTTTACAGGGCATGCAGAATATATTTCCTGTCCAATAATGACAGAAATACTTGATTTTGAAAAGTAACAGTTACAGCATGGAATAGAAGACTAATGAAGTTTGAGGGCCCACTTCAGAGTCCTGGTTGAAATGGAGGTTGAGAAGTATAACGCAGTCAGTGCAGGTGACTTTCAGCTGGGTATCTAGTCCTATTAGAGGTAAGAACTGTGGTTACCCTAACCAAAACAATAGGATTAAAAGACCTTAAATGAAAGGTGAAAATTATTATAAGAGAAATGATCATACTGGCAAACAATTCACCTCCAAGAATTATGATGTAATTCTTTGTCAGCTACTCACAGATGGAATTCTAAACCGGTAGCAGACCCTGAAGGACAATGTCACCATCAGAACCACCAACAAGGACAAACTGTCCCTCTCCTGTATCATCCTACATACCATCTGTATCCACAAAAATGCTCGTTTTTCAACAAGCCTCCTATTTCTTTTGGGTGACTGGGCATACTGCCCAGCACCTCCATCACATACTTTAGCACTTTCCACCCTGACTCAGGGTCCCACATGCCTCCTGTTTCTTATTGACCAGTGATCTGTCACTATGGGCACTGTCATTCTACATCAGTGAGTGCAGAATGCTATGGTGTTCATGCAGACTCTCTGAGCTGACTCTGCAGGCAGTGATCAGGCTTCAACTGGCTCAGTGTCATCCTGAACCTGCATGTGATGGCGGATGACCATTGAGAAAATGCAAGGACACTATGCCGGGAGCTACAGCCAAATGGGGCCCTCTTTGATGCTGCACCATTCACAATGCAACCCAGCTATCCCGTCACCAAAGTGGACACCAGCTGGGGCACAAAGGCCAGCTAATGTGGCTCTTCAAACTAGAGATGTGCATGAGCTAGATGTGTGCTGTGTCACTGTGGTTGACAGAAATGCAACCTGCCAAGGTTTGTTGGTCACCATGGTCAATGATCAGTCATCACGCTGCACCTGGTTGCTGCTCACAGTTTGCAGGAATTGCTGCCAGAATTCAGCAATCGCCCAGCACCCAACAGCAGGCAGCAGACAGCACCCAACAGCTGTAGTTTAACCTAGTGATGGCCTTTGCCTTATCTTCATGCTGTTTCTCCTAAGTGTGACTATGGCCATCTCCCTGAACCTGCAACGCCTCCTCTAGCCCCATTGCCTGGGGCTGCTTTCACCCTGCTCTCTGATCCAAGCCTGAGTATGGAGCTATCTCCAACTTAAAGGAAGGAGATTTGCCCTGTTCCTACAATGTATGTATGGCTTTAGATATTTTTAAAATCTTGATTTCTTTAAACTCAAGAAACAGCTTTCAACCAGATATTCTCTGCAGTGCCAGCAATGAAACTTTGTTTTATTTTGTTTTTGTTTTTGTAGAAACAGGGTTTCGCTATGTTGACCAAGCTGGTCTCAAACTCCTGGCCTCAAATGATCTGCCCACCTTGGCCTCCCAAAGTGCTGAGATTGCCGGCATGAGCCACCGTGCCTGCCCAGTAATGAAGCTTTAAATGTTACCTTTGATTCAAATGTATTTGTGTGATATTTTAACATTTTTATTTTATACTTATCATACTTTTATAAATCACTCCTGCATGTTTTTGGTTGTTGAGAGTGGGGAGCTCTATAGGTTTACTTGCTAGTTTTTATGTATACTTTAATTTGCCTCATTAGTTTACAATTTCTTTGGGGAAAAGTTTTTGCCTATTAATGTGTTCTGAAAAGTTATGTTTTCTGTTAAAGAGTTTTTTCCTTGCAATATTGAAGGTGATTTATTGCATCTTTAAATTTCTACTCTTTGGCTCCATATACTTGTCTTTGAGAAACTGATAAACTGTAGATTTGTTTATATAAGAACTAAAATTCTCTTTCCAAAAACTATTCTTGAGACCTTTTGTTGTTTTTTTCTTTCCTCATTTTTAACTTTTCTCAGTCATGGTGTCCATGGGTTGGCTGACTCAATTTGTTCCTGAAAATATCAGATCCTGGAGTGCAGACAGCGTGCTTCTCTAACTTTGGGGTAAACATAAGTAAGTCACTCTAAGCCTGAGACATATTAATTAGTAAACCTTTGCTAATAGTGCAGTGAGTAAAAAAAGGAAGGCCACTGCCAGGCGCGGTGGCTCACACCTGTTCCCAGCACTTTGGGAGGCCGAGGCGGGTGGATTATGAGGTCAAGAGACTGAGACCATCCTGGCCAACATGGTGAAATCCTGCCTCTTTTAAAAATACAAAAATTAGCTGGGCGTGGTAGCACGTGCCTGTAGTTCCAGCTACTGAGTAGGCTGAGGCAGGAGAATCACTTGAACCAGGGAGTGTGGAGGTTGCAGTGAGCCGAGATCACGCCGTTGCATTACAGTCTGGAAAACAGAGCAAGACTCCATCTCAAAAAAAAAAAAAAAAGGAAGCCCACATTCTCATCTTACTGGTTAAAAAATACTGTGACTTAAGAAAACCAACTTCTCTTAGAGAAAATATTAAGCGTGATTGTAGGGGAATACATATTATAAGAGCCTGTCTAAAAATAAAGATGAGACTGTTTTTCTTTTCAGTTGTGAGGAGTAATATCACAGACTTTGTCTCTGAAATCTGAAATTTAAATTATATATTCATGTGACTTTTCAATGAAATTCCAAGAGCTCAGTGTTTTGTTTTTTCAAAATATATTACCTTTGGGTGAATCTTAAGAATTTTTAAAAACCTACATAATACAAAGACAGTCCAAAAAAAGAGGAAAAAGAAGGATAGGGTTAAACCATGCCCTTCAAAATCCCAAGGTTTCTGATAAATATTTAAATCATAATTGGAACGAAATGGATGGTACAATTTTTTAAAGTCTAGCTTATATTCTAAAAGATTCTTTTTTCCTCCAATACTTTTCCTCCTCCAGTCAAAGGGGAGCTGCCCTGTGTGGCCTGGGAAGTTATCAAGTGGTCAAGCTTTACTACAGAAAAAGCGGAGAGATGATTTTGTCCTCATTGTGATGTTAGGTTTTCACTATCGTTTCCAGAATAGGAAACAAGGAAAGCAGCTAGCTTGGGAATACTGAGATTCTCCTGGAGTGCAGACAGCATGCTTCTCTAATTTTGTATATTGTAATTTTGTGACATTTAGGCACATTTAAGGAAGTGAACATATAGTTTCTCCTTTTCATACATATATTGTAGAATTATTTCCTTGACAATAGATGAAAGCTTAAGAAAATACCAGGTTAATGAAAAAGTTTTAAGTATTTTCTAAGAATGCAGTAACTGGTTAGGACTCTGGGCGCCGCTGTTCACCAATCTGGGAGATACAAGCTGTACACACACGTCAGGGGGAGGGAAGAAAAAAGCCCTCTTAGAACCTCCATCACCGTCAGATTGAAACAGACTGTCCAAGACTGTCTAAATCCTACTTCTGGATGACTCTCCACTCAGAATTCTCCTGAAAATTGGGTTAATTTCAGCTCAGAAAAACAGAAACGAAACCCTTGGTACTGGACTGGATGAAAACTACAAAGTTAGAGAGCAATGAAGATTCAGAAAAAGCTGACCAGCTGCAGCCGGCTGATGCTTTTGTATCTTTCTCTGGAGTCACTGTTGGAAGCTGGGGCTGGGAAAATTCACTACTCAGTGCCAGAAGAGACAGACAAAGGTTCTGTCGTGGGCAATATCGCCAAGGACCTAGGGCTACAACCCCAGGAGCTGGCAGATCGCGGAGTCCGCATTGTTTCCAGAGGTAGGATGCCGCTTTTCGCTCTCAATCCGAGAAGTGGCAGCTTGATCACCGCGGGCAGGATAGACCGGGAGGAGCTCTGCGCTCAGAGTGTGCCGTGTCTCGTGAGTTTTAACATCCTTGTTGAGGATAAAATGAAGCTTTTCCCTGTCGAAGTGGAAATAATTGATATTAATGACAACACTCCCCAATTCCAATTAGAGGAACTGGAGTTTAAAATGAATGAAATAACTACTCCAGGTACAAGGATCCCATTGCCTTTTGGGCAAGACCTTGATGTGGGTATGAACTCACTCCAGAGCTACCAACTCAGCTCTAACCCTCATTTCTCCCTGGATGTGCCACAGGGGACTGATGGGCCCCAACATCCAGAGATGGTGCTGCAGAGTCCCCTAGACAGAGAAGAAGAAGCTGTCCACCACCTCATCCTCACAGCTTCTGACGGGGGTGATCCTGTCCGTTCAGGGACCCTCCGAATTTGCATTCAGGTGGTAGATGCAAATGACAATCCTCCAGCATTTACTCAGGCAGAATACCATATGAATGTCCCTGAAAACGTGCCGGTGGGCACTCAGCTGCTCATGGTAAATGCCACTGACCCTGATGAGGGAGCCAATGGAGAAGTAACATACTCCTTTCATAATGTAGATCACAGAATGGCTCAAATATTTCATTTAGATTCTTATGCAGGAGAAATATCAAATAAAGAACCGCTGGATTTTGAAGAATACAAAATTTATTCAATGGAAGTTCAAGCCCAGGATGGTGCAGGGCTCATGGCTAGAGCTAAGGTACTGATCAAAGTTTTGGATGTAAATGATAATGCCCCAGAAGTGACCATCACCTCTGTCACCACTGCAGTTCCAGAAAACTTTCCTCCTGGGACCATAATTGCTCTTATAAGTGTGCTTGACCAGGACTCAGGAGACAATGGTTACACCACATGTTTCATTCCTGGAAATCTACCGTTTAAATTGGAAAAGTTAGTTGATAATTATTACCGTTTAGTGACTGAAAGAACACTGGACAGAGAACTTATCTCTGGGTACAACATCACAGTAACAGCAACAGACCAGGGAACTCCAGCTCTATCTACTGAAACTCACATTTCACTGCTAGTGACAGATATCAATGACAACTCTCCAGTCTTCCATCAAGACTCCTACTCTGCCTACATTACCGAAAACAACCCCAGAGGCGCCTCCATCTTCTCTGTGAAGGCCCATGACTCAGACAGCAATGAGAATGCGCAAATCACTTACTCCCTAATAGAGGACACCATCCAGGGGGCACCCCTGTCGTCCTATGTGTCCATCAGCTCCGACACTGGGGTACTGTATGCGCTGCGATCCTTCGACTACGAGCAGTTCCGGGATTTGCAACTGAAAGTGATGGCGCGGGACAGCGGGGATCCGCCCCTCAGCAGTAACGTGTCGCTGAGCCTGTTCGTGCTGGACCAGAACGACAATGCGCCCGAGATCCTGTACCCCGCCCTCCCCACAGATGGTTCCACTGGCGTGGAGCTGGCGCCCCGCTCCGCAGAGTCCGGCTACCTGGTGACCAAGGTGGTGGCGGTGGACAGAGACTCAGGCCAGAACGCCTGGCTGTCCTACCGCCTGCTCAAGGCCAGCGAGCCCGGACTCTTCACGGTGGGGCTGCACACGGGCGAGGTGCGCACGGCGCGGGCCCTGCTGGACAGAGACGCTCTCAAGCAGAGCCTTGTGGTGGCCGTCCAGGACCACGGCCAGCCCCCTCTCTCGGCCACTGTCACGCTCACTGTGGCCGTGGCCGATAGGATCCCCGACATCTTAGCCGACCTGGGCAGCCTCGAGCCTTCCGCCAAACCCAACGACTCGGACCTCACTCTGTACCTGGTGGTGTCGGTGGCCGCGGTCTCCTGCGTCTTCCTGCCCTTCGTCATCGTGCTGCTGGCGCTCAGGCTGCGGCGCTGGCACAAGTCACGCCTGCTGCAGGCTTCGGAAGACGCGATGGCAGGCGAGCCCAGCTCGCACTTTGTGGGCGTGGAGGGGGTGCGGGCTTTCCTGCAGACCTATTCCCATGAGGTCTCCCTCACCGCAGATTCGCGGAAGAGTCACCTGATCTTCCCCCAGCCCAACTACGCTGACACGCTTATCAGCCAGGAGAGCTGTGAGAAAAAAGATTTTCTATCAGCACCCCAGTCCTTACTGGAAGACAAAAAGGAACCATTTTCTCAGGTAAACTTTTGTATAAGCTATCTAGATAATAATTCTTGATTTTACTTACTTGCCTTCACTCTTTACTACAGATAGTTCTTCCAACCCATGTATCTTTGTAGCTTTTTGTTACAAGTCCTGGAAAATCACGATTAAATGAGTCTACACGTTCATATGCAGGGATATTTATAATTGTTCTTGCATTCAAAAGGAGACTGTGATCATAATGTAGGTGGTTGGGTCGAAGGTATGTGTGAGATGCCATCTCTGGAAAGAGCACTGCATTAGAAACAGGGAGATCTAGCTTCTAACATTCTCTTACTTGCCTCTGGGCTAAACCCATAAGATGATGGGTTTGCCATCATCTTATCTGAAAGGGTTTGATTAGAAAAGGCTCACCAATATTTAAATTACTAATACTATTTTCAATTTTTCTTTTTATAAATATCTGCTAATTCACCCCTGAATTTAATGTAGATGTCATCTATCAGGACACTTTGATATTTTTTTTCAGGACATTTGAAGAGGTGACGATTGTCTAAAGTAGTGGTTTTAGTTGTGTTCATATATGATTATAGAAATTTCTGCCAGGGGGTGGTGACTCACGCCTGTAATCCCAGCACTTTCGGAGACTGAGGCAGGTGGATCATGAGGTCAGGAGTTTGACACCAGCCTGGCCAATGTGGTGAAACTCCATCTCTACTAAAAATACAAAAATTAGCTGGGTGTGGTGGCACGCTCCTTTAGTCCCAGTTAGTTGGGAGGCTGAGGCAGAAGAATCTCTGGAACCTGGGATGCAGAGGTTGCAGTGAGCTGAGATCATGCCACTGCACTCCAGCCTGGGTGACAGAGTGAGAGTCTG